CAATGTGTTTTGTTTGTTCCGTGTGGGTTCCAGGGCTTGAAGACAGTCAATGTGTTTTGTTTGTTCCGTGTGGGTTTTAGGGTCCCATTTTGGGAGGGGGAAAAAAAGAGAACAGAGCCAATGCCATCGTAAAAATCATGTCATATAAGGGTACTAATCAGAGAAGTTACGTTTAAATTCAGGTACATCTGCCTGAGGGGCGACAAACAAACAAACTCTTTATACAAATAAGCTAGAATTGTAACACAGATTTACACATAATTCAAGTTCTGGAACAAGTCCAAAGTCCAGAAATGGACAAAAAGTCAGAACTTTGACTGGAGTTTACAGCTGGCGAATGCCAAGAATATGTTTTGGACATGCTAGTCAATCAGTTAGGTGCCATCTCCACATTGAAGGTTCGCTGCAATGAATCTCCAAAACTCTCTAACTCTTGTCCTGGTAGTACACTCTCTCAGACTGCTATTCGTCCATCTATTAATACTGTCTGCCCACTTGTACCATTGTCTATCTCTTGCTCTCTTGCCTTCAACTGTTTCCTCCAGTATGGTTTTTAAAAGAAAAGACATGTTATGAGAAAGAATATACTTGAGAATGTGGTGACAGCAGGCAAGAATTTATGGGAAAAGAACCAGGGAAGAAAGAGAAATAAAACTCTAGATGGCTTAGCCACATCGATGGGAGTAGGACAAGAGCACTGACCTAATCCATGATCTTGGACATGGTGGTGCTGTTGGATGGCAAACTATGATAATGTAAGCTTACTGGAACACCATATGTTGAAGTTGATATAAGCAAGGTTTTATTTTTCTGAAAAGAAAAAGGTGTGGGTGCTCACCACAAAGCAGCAATAAAAGGTGCCGGTAGTCACTATAATGTGTCTATTGTAGTAGCATTGAACAAAAGGATGCCCAAGTACCATTGCATACTGCAACAACAACAAAAAACACATATAAATATGTGTCAAATTCTACAGAGTGTGTTTATTTGACATTACTTTCAATTAGGGCTGTACCTAATATTACTTCGTATTCACTTCGGGGCCGAATAGTGGACCTAATAACTATTCGGTATTCGGCTGAATATTTGCGCTCGGGCCGAATACAAATCATGGTTACCTTACACCCGTTTTTGGCATACATTGCGATGGACTGAAATAACTCTCTCATTAGCACAATAGTTGCTTTTGCCTAAGTCTGTCATAGCGGGGAAAACTGCAACCTGGTTGCGTGGTACAGCAGCTGGCGAGGTCCTTGCATGCTGACTCGACCGAGGCATTACAGCAGAGGTTCTCAAACTGGGTGTGTATGCCATAGGTGCCGCAGCAAAAATCAAGAAAAGTAGGCTATAAATTGTGACATTATTAAAGAAGGCATGAAGATACTAAAAGTTTAAAATTTAAATCGTCTTTCCTTGCCACTGTCAAAAAGAGGACAGGCAAAAACTGCATTTTATAAAATTAAGAACATCTTATGCAATATATCTTTGTCATTAAAGGTTAGAAAAAGAATTCTTGCTTGCTACATACATCCAGTTTTAACATATGGCTGTGAGTCCTGGACAATCGGTGGGCAGGCCAAACAATCTCTTGAGGCCTCAGAGATGTGGTTTTACAGGACAATGCTTAAAATACCTTAGCCAAAAAAAGCAACCAAATAGTTTTGAAAGAGACGGGAGCCCGAAGACAACTAATCACAGACATCAGAAGGAGACGGTCATCATTTTTCGGCCATGTTGTGAGAAGAGGGAAAATGTAACCACTGGAAAGATCTGTCGAAGAAGAGATAGAAGAAGACAACGAGAGAAGATTCTTGACAGTCTTGTTGCATGACATAGAGGTGTGTCAGCACACAAACTTATTCATGCAGGCATAATTACCCACGCCTGTCGGCAAGGCACCTGATGATGATAATGATGATGATGTTGTCACTGCTGCTTCCATTCACGATAAACTGCATTTCCAGTGCCGGACTGTTTATGTTGGCACATCTGACGGCTGGATTTTGCAATTAGTATGTGTATATGCTATTTGCTTTACTGACACTGCTGTCTGTGTCAGTTTTGTTTCCACATGGGACAGTGATGGAAGTTCTGTCTGGTTTTCATTGGTACAGAAATGGAGCAAATATTGGGTGACCCATTCTGTAACCTGTTTCCAAAGACTCAGATGCACAAAGACAAACCACTTTCGTGGTAAAAGATTAAAGAATGCAGATAAATCAAAATTAAGTACACAAAGATAAATGAAAGTATTTTTATTCAAACCAAAAAGAAAACCTTTTCGCCTGTATCAATTCCAACAGTTTAAAGACACATAATCTTTCTCAGTACTCTTTTACTGTTGCTGCGCGGTCTCGAGGCATGGCTTCCGCCTTAAGTGCTACAGGTTCTGTGTTCAATCCCCGGAAGGGCTGGGATCTTTTCACGTGGACTTGAACTTCTAGTAATTCCCCTTGGTCTCTGGGAAGTGAGATCGGACGCCCGTGTGCATTGTTGCGCATGTAAAAAAAAACCTTGGCAGTTGGAAATCAAAAAGAGTAACCTAACAACACTGCCAGGACAAAATTTGGTGTAAAAAATCTACTCAAAGTATTTCAGGATCCTCACAGAGAGCCTGTGCAATGTGCTGAACTTCTTCAGACTCAGACTTGAGTTAGAAGAAGAACGGAGCACTTATGGGATACTACCCGTGTGCCATGATCATGATGTGGATCTGTTGTTCAAAACCTCAAATCTTATTGTTTACTCTATACATGGTATATGTTTACTAACTTCTGTTGAAAATATAGCAAATTTTGAATAACTGGGCTCCATAATAAACAACAATGGAGACTGTTCAACAGAAGTCAAAAGGAGGATGGCCATGGAAATGCAATGATTAATAAGCACTACAAGTCTACTGTTAAGTTCCATAGAGCAAACCAGTCTCAAAATTTGGAAGGCATGGGTTTCATTGTTGAATGTTGAATTAGGATTCGAGATCACAGCACTCGGGAAACCTCCATAAGCTCTCCGTCCCCATCTTCAGCAGCAAAGGAAGAATCAAAATTCTGATGGTACCAGTAACTGTCTGATTGTAAATCTGTCTCGCCTTTTCCCTGAGTGTTGAGCGTCAGCCAGATCCCCTTGTAACTACTCACAGTACCATTGGTCTCCCATATAGCAACATGTTCATGTGAGACTATTTCTCAGTTTGGAAGAAAATAAAGTTTTTTTTTTTTTTTTGCCTTTTTTTTAAGCTTAAATGCTATGGAAAGATTCTTCTTAGAATACTGTAGATCAAGAAGACAATAAATATTGACATCCTAAAATATCTGAACATCAAGTATGATGGCTATCTCAGAAACTGAAATATTTTGGCCACATCAGGTGTGAAGAGCTCTTCCTTTCATCTAGATAAGGGCACTGCAGTGTAGGCAGGGATGTCTTTGAGCTGGGGATTCAGGTCCGCATGGCTAGTATAGTCACCACGTACGGTACAGGTTGGGATTTTATTTATAAAACTTTTTTTTTTTAAATCTCTCACCGCATGTTATAAATAAGATAAACTTCTACTGTTATTTTTGCAAAAGCAAACAGTACATTTATGTTATTCTCATACATATCTGTTTGCACTATGCCAGAAGTCACACATGTGTTAGAGCTTTAACCAGCCAGACAAACGTGTGGATTTCTCTCAGAGATACCTCAGTTAAGTGATGCTGTGTTCGTAACTGAAACATTGTTTATCACGAAATGTGCTGATAAAGGTGGTCTAGCCGCAACATTCGCTTGTCGTTTGTGATAATGTAAAGCTCACTGGTTCTATTTTCACTTGCTTTGATATATTTTCAGTCACCTAAATGCTAAATATTCGTATTGAGAAAATCACATGTCTTTCTGAAGTGGCAGGGGAAATGTTTCTTAGTTGCGTGAAAAGTAAGTGCGCTTCGGTTCGACCTGTTTGTAGAAGGAATTCTTCTTCTTCTTCTTCTTCTTCTTCTTCTTCTTCTTCTTCTTCTTCTTCTTCTTCTTCTTCTTCTTCTTCTTCTTCTTCTTCTTCGTCTTCTTCTCCATTCATCTGAAGATGTAATTGTGTCCGTTTACAGCATGGCTGTGATATTTGCACCTTTCATCCAACACATCTGACTTCTGCAGGCATTTGTTGACTGGTTTAGCCATTCCGTAGTAGGAATTCACATGTATCCCTTGACCTGTTGAAATGACAGCCCTAAAATGTCCCTTCAGCAGTATATCGCTCAAATGGCACTTAGGTGACTTCAGCTGAAGTCGGCTTCTCTGCTCCTGGAAGGTCTCGCGGTATCCGGACAGGAAGAGATTTCTGTAACTGGCCCTTCTGTTTAACTTCTCTTATAAAATTTTGTTTGGCTGCATTCTCACTAAATGGTTCGACCATGTAGTAAGAAACCAACCAAACCAAACCGTACATGAGACTTTTTTATTACAGCAAAACATCTGCAAGGAAGGCGAGGGGAAGACCAAGAGAGAAAGGATAAATGATATAGCTGAAAACTGCAAAAGGGTGAGCAAAGCCATCACCCAAACCACCCAAATCAAGCGCAAGACAAATACAGAAAACAATCTGCTATCAGCAAGACAAAAACAGAGGATGAGTTCCAAAAACTTGTCGACCTCCTTCTCGACTTCGACCATCCACACTTATGATCACAAATAGTTAATAAATAAAAATACTAAATAAAAAAAGAAAACTACATTAGCAGTTTCAAAAAAGTTCTGGAACTAATGCCTGGAGCATCATATACACACATATATATGCAATAATTATACGTACATATACTGAATTGTTTTGTTTTATTTACAATTGTATAACCAGTTTGAATATAGTTTTTTAGTTTAAAAAGTTAAAAAATATGAATTTGTCTCAAGACCAGTTCAACTTACTATCTGTAAATAGAAACGGAACTTGGTCGTTAAATCTAAGAAACTCTGTGTTATATACAATCTGACACCACATCTGATATCACTCTTCAATCTAAAGGCTAAGATCGAACATCAAAGAAGTCCCCATTGACACTTTCCGTGTAAATGGATTTGCCTCCGTACCAGGGCAGATCCTTGGAGGACGGGTCATCATCTGGAGCTCCCAGACCTTGCCACATCTTCCCCAGCATGAGGTCTCTGCCTGCAGGTCCAAACTGTGGCGAGTGTTTCCCTACGAACAGTGGAGTCTCTAGAACCACGTCTTCCTTGCCTTCGATCCTCACCTGAAATGATTAGAGACAAGGGAGACAACAAAACATAAAAATTAAGCTAAAATGATCTTCAGTTAACAATAATATAAAATGATCAATAAACAATAACCCAAACTGATCTTCAGTTAACAATAAAATAAAATGATCTCCAATAAACAATAACCCAAACTGATCTTCATTTAACAATAATATAAAATGATCTCTAATAAACAATAACCCAAAATGATCTTCAGTTAACAATAATATAAAATGATATCCAATAAACAATAACCAAAACTAATCTTCAGTTAACAATAATATAAAATGATCTCCAATAAACAATAACCCAAACTGATCTCCAGTTAACAATAATATAAAATGATCAATAAACAATAACCCAAAATGATCTTCAGTTAACAATAATATAAAATGATCTCCAATAAACAATAACCCAAACTGATCTCCAGTTAACAATAATATAAAATGATCTCCAATAAACAATAACCAAAACTGATCTTCAGTAAAGAATAATCTAAACGGATATTCAATAAAAAGATGCCAACGATCCAGTGTACATATATACCAAATGACACCGTTATTAGGACATTCAAACACAAGTACGAGTTCCAAGATACAGATTACAAACAGTATATTCAAACCAAAACTGTGCTACCAGTGCAAGTACTAATATTCACTTCATTGCCTTGTGAGATGCAGTTTTCCGTTAGGTGAAGCCCCACTCTGGCTTTTGGCGGGGGTCCTAAATATAGCCGTGCCCTAATTAATGCCTAACGGGTGAACGGGGTTTCTGGGACCTCCCCCGCGGGTGATCTTCATCCGCATGGTAGCACTTTGTGTCACCAGGTGTTTATCGCTTGTGTGATGTCCTGGTGGGGTACAACTTACATACATACAGTACAAGATTTGGACATTGTCAAAGGCTAACCTTTGTACAATTAACACCTGCGAAATGAGATGCCTGAAAAAAATCGCCAACTTAAACATCCGAGACAAAGTTAGAAATGATATTATCAGACAGACGGTGGGAACAAGACCATGCAGCAAACTTACTGATGAACAGAAGATCAAGTGGTTTGGTCACAAAAACCAATGCAGGCTCTGCACAAAAAAAGATCTAATGTGAAAGCAAAAGGCCGCAACAGGAGAAGATAGACCATAGAGCTTCTACACCCATAAGAAATGACAATGACCACTGCTGCACATCTAGCAGTGGATCGGAAATTTGTCTTTCCCACGACAATTCATGGCAGAAGTGAAAATTTATGATGATGATCTTCAATAACCAAGAACCTAAACGCGGGTGGATAAGGAGTGGGCAAATATGTTGGCGTGTGCATGTGGGCGTGTGTGCGCACACGAGTGTGACCATGCATTTAACCATCTATGCTATTGTGTTTTCTTTTTTCTTTTTTGAGGGGTATTCATAATATGCTTATTTTTGTATAAATATAACATGCTTTATTGACAAAATTCAACTGCTGTGTGAAAGGTGTGCGTTTGTAATGGCTGAATGTAAGACGGACTTGAGTGCCCAATTTGTAACCCTTTGAAAATAAAGTTTGTTTGTTAGTTCCTTCAATGAACAATAAAAAAAAAATAACCTAAACTGATTTTCAAGAGACAATAACCTATACTGTACTTCACAAACAACCTAAAAAAATCTACAATAAACAATAACCAATACTGATCTTCAAAAAACAATAACAAATACTGATCTACAATAAACAATAACCTACACTGATCTTCAATAAAACATAAATTAAACTGATCTTCAAAAAAAAAACAATAACCTTAATTGATTTTTAATAAAAAATAACCTATAGTGACCTTCAATAAACAATAACCTATTGTGATCTTTAATAAACAATAACCTTTACTGATTTTCATTAAACAACAACCCATACTGATCTTTAATAAACATTAACATATACTGGTCTTCAGTAAATAATAACCTATACTGATTTTCAAAAAAACAATAACCTATTGTAATCTTCAGTTAACAATAACCTATACTGTTCTTTAATAAACAACAATCTAAAATGATCTACAATAACAACAACCCATACTGATCTTCAATAAATAATAACCTTTACTGACCTTGAATAAACAATAATCTAAAACAGCTGTCAATAAACAATAACATATACTGATCTTCAATAAACAATAACTTATGACAATCTTCAATAAACAACAACCTATACTTATCTTCAGTAAACAATAACCCAAAACTACCTTCAGTAAACAATAACCCAAAACTACCTTCAGTAAACAATAACCTAAAACTACCTTCAGTAAACAATAACCTAAAACTACCTTCAGTAAACAATAACCTAAAACAATCTTTAGTAAAAAAATAACCTATACTTATCTTTAAAAAACAATAACCTATACTTATTCGGGAGGCTGAGTGGTCTCAGGGCATGGCGTGGAGGTACTAGGTTCAGGCACCAGAGCACTTATGGGTAACTACACTTGTGCCATTATGTTTATTCAGTGTATAAACCATATATTGATCTTTACAAAACAACAACCTACACTGATGTTCAAAAATCAACAACAACCTAAACTGATCTTTAAAAAAACAACCTATACAAATCTTCAACAAACAATAACCCAAAAAATCTTAAATAAACAATAACCTATACTGATATCCAATAACCTAAAACCATCTTCAATAAACAGTAAACACAAGAAATCTTTAATAAACAAAATCCTAAAGCGATCTTCAATTAAACAATCACCCAAAATAATCTCCAATAAACAATAAACCAAAACGATCTTTACTAAACAATAATCCCAAAATTATCTCCAATAAACAATAATCCTAAACGATCTCCAATAAACAATAGCCTCAAACGATCTCAAATAAACAATAATCTAAAACGTCTTCAATAAACAACAACCTATACTGGTCTCCAATAAACAATAACCTAAAATCATCTCTAATAAACAATAACATAAAATCATCTTTAATAAAACAATAACCTAAAACGATAAACAATAACGTATGCTGATTTTCAAAAAACAAAAACCTAAAATGAATTTGTATAAACAAGTCTAAAGTGATCTCCAATAAACCCTGACCTAAAACATTTCCAATAAACAATTAGTAGTAGTAATACATTTTACCCCACTAGGACATCACAGAGGCGATAAACATACGATGACACAAAGTGCCACCATGTGGATGAGGATCACCCGTGGAGAGGTCCCAGAAACCGCGTTCAGCCATTAGGCCCCATTTATGGCCGGACTATATTGCAGCTCCTGGAAAGAGCCAAGGTGGGGCTTTAAAAAAAAAAAAGAATAAATTGCATCTCACAAGGAAATGACTAGTTGATACTAGTCAATGGCTATAATGCACCCAATAAATAATAACACAAAACGATCTTCGATAAACAAAAAACCTATACCGATCTCCATTACACAATAACCTTTAATGATCTCCAATAAACAATAACCTTTACCGATCTCCAATAAACAATAACCTTTACTGATCTCCAATAAACAATAACCTATACCGATCTCCAATAAACAATAACCTTTACTGATCTCCAATAAACAATAACCTATACCGATCTCCAATAAACAATAACCTTTACTGATCTCCAATAAACAATAACCTTTACTGATCTCCAATAAACAATAACCTATACCGATCTCCAATAAACAATAACCTATACCGATCTCCAATAAACAATAACCTTTACTGATCTCCAATAAACAATAACCTTTACTGATCTCCAATAAACAATAACCTATACCGATCTCCAATAAACAATAACCTATACCGATCTCCAATAAACAATAACCTTTACTGATCTCCAATAAACAATAACCTTTACTGATCTCAATAAAACAATAACCTATACCGATCTCCAATAAACAATAACCTATACTGATCTCCAATAAACAATAACCTTTACTGATCTCCAATAAACAATAACCTTTACTGATCTCCAATAAACAATAACCTATACCGATCTCCAATAAACAATAACCTATACCGATCTCCAATAAACAATAACCTTTACTGATCTCCAATAAACAATAACCTTTACTGATCTCCAATAAACAATAACCTATACCGATCTCCAATAAACAATAACCTAAAATGATCTCCAATAAACAATAACCTATACCGATCTCCAATAAACAATAACCTAAAACGATCTCCAATAAACAATAACCTAAAATGATCTCCAATAAACAATAACCTAAAATGATCTCCAATAAACAATAACCTAAAATGATCTCCAATAAACAATAACCTTTACTGATCTCCAATAAACAATAACCTATACCGATCTCCAATAAACAATAACCTAAAATGATCTCCAATAAACAATAACCTAAAATGATCTCCAATAAACAATAACCTAAAATGATCTCCAATAAACAATAACCTAAAATGATCTCCAATAAACAATAACCTATACCGATCTCCAATAAACAATAACCTAAAATGATCTCCAATAAACAATAACCTAAAATGATCTCCAATAAACAATAACCTAAAATGATCTCCAATAAACAATAACCTAAAATGATCTCCAATAAACAATAACCTAAAATGATCTCCAATAAACAATAACCTATACCGATCTCCAATAAACAATAACCTATACTAACCCCCAATACACAATAACCTAAAATGATCTCCAATAAACAATAACCTAAAATGATCTCCAATAAACAATAACCTAAAATGATCTCCAATAAACAATAACCTAAAATGATCTCCAATAAACAATAACCTATACCGATCTCCAATAAACAATAACCTAAAATGATCTCCAATAAACCAATAACCTAAAATGATCTCCAATAAACAATAACCTAAAATGATCTCCAATAAACAATAACCTAAAATGATCTCCAATAAACAATAACCTATACCGATCTCCAATAAACAATAACCTAAAATGATCTCCAATAAACAATAACCTAAAATGATCTCCAATAAACAATAACCTAAAATGATCTCCAATAAACAATAACCTAAAATGATCTCCAATAAACAATAACCTATACCGATCTCCAATAAACAATAACCTAAAATGATCTCCAATAAACAATAACCTAAAATGATCTCCAATAAACAATAACCTAAAATGATCTCCAATAAACAATAACCTAAAATGATCTCCAATAAACAATAACCTTTACTGATCTCCAATAAACAATAACCTTTACTGATCTTCAATAAACAATAACCTATACCGATCTCCAATAAACAATAACCTAAAATGATCTCCTATAAACAATAACCTATACCGATCTCCAATAAACAATAACCTAAAATGATCTCCAATAAACAATAACCTATACCGATCTCCAATAAACAATAACCTAAAATGATCTCCAATACACAATAACCTATACCGATCTCCAATAAACAATAACCTAAAATGATCTTCAATAAACAATAACCTATACCGATCTCCAATAAACAATAACCTAAAATGATCTCCAATAAACAATAACCTAAAATGATCTTCAATAAACAATAACCTTTACCGATCTCCAATAAACAATAACCTAAAATGATCTTCAATAAACAATAACCTATACCGATCTCCAATAAACAATAACCTAAAATGATCTCCAATAAACAATAACCTAAAATGATCTCCAATAAACAATAACCTTTACCGATCTCCAATAAACAATAACCTAAAACGATCTCCAATAAACAATAACCTATACTAACCCCCAATACACAATAACCTATACCGATCTCCAATAAACAATAACCTAAAATGATCTCCAATAAACAATAACCTAAAATGATCTCCAATAAACAATAACCTAAAATGATCTCCAATAAACAATAACCTAAAATGATCTCCAATAAACAATAACCTAAAATGATCTCCAATAAACAATAACCTAAAATGATCTCCAATAAACAATAACCTAAAATGATCTCCAATAAACAATAACCTAAAATGATCTCCAATAAACAATAACCTATACCGATCTCCAATAAACAATAACCTATACTAACCCCCCAATACACAATAACCTAAAATGATCTCCAATAAACAATAACCTAAAATGATCTCCAATAAACAATAACCTAAAATGATCTCCAATAAACAATAACCTAAAATGATCTCCAATAAACAATAACCTATACCGATCTCCAATAAACAATAACCTAAAATGATCTCCAATAAACAATAACCTAAAATGATCTCCAATAAACAATAACCTAAAATGATCTCCAATAAACAATAACCTAAAATGATCTCCAATAAACAATAACCTATACCGATCTCCAATAAACAATAACCTAAAATGATCTCCAATAAACAATAACCTAAAATGATCTCCAATAAACAATAACCTAAAATGATCTCCAATAAACAATAACCTATACCGATCTCCAATAAACAATAACCTAAAATGATCTCCAATAAACAATAACCTAAAATGATCTCCAATAAACAATAACCTAAAATGATCTCCAATAAACAATAACCTAAAATGATCTCCAATAAACAATAACCTTTACTGATCTCCAATAAACAATAACCTTTACTGATCTCCAATAAACAATAACCTATACCGATCTCCAATAAACAATAACCTAAAATGATCTCCAATAAACAATAACCTATACCGATCTCCAATAAACAATAACCTAAAATGATCTCCAATAAACAATAACCTATACCGATCTCCAATAAACAATAACCTAAAATGATCTCCAATACACAATAACCTATACCGATCTCCAATAAACAATAACCTAAAATGATCTTCAATAAACAATAACCTATACCGATCTCCAATAAACAATAACCTAAAATGATCTCCAATAAACAATAACCTAAAACGATCTCCAATAAACAATAACCTTTACCGATCTCCAATAAACAATAACCTAAAACGATCTCCAATAAACAATAACCTAAAATGATCTCCAATAAACAATAACCTAAAATGATCTCCAATAAACAATAACCTAAAATGATCTCCAATAAACAATAACCTAAATTGATCTCCAATAAACAATAACCTATACCGATCTCCAATAAACAATAACCTAAAATGATCTCCAATAAACAATAACCTAAAATGATCTCCAATAAACAATAACCTAAAATGATCTCCAATAAACAATAACCTAAAATGATCTCCAATAAACAATAACCTAAAATGATCTCCAATAAACAATAACCTAAAATGATCTCCAATAAACAATAACCTATACCGATCTCCAATAAACAATAACCTAAAATGATCTCCAATAAACAATAACCTAAAATGATCTCCAATAAACAATAACCTAAAATGATCTCCAATAAACAATAACCTAAAATGATCTCCAATAAACAATAACCTAAAACGATCTCCAATAAACAATAACCCAAAACGATCTCCAATAAACAATAACCTAAAACGATCTCCAATAAACAAGAACATCAAATGAAATAGATCTGCAAGCAGAATATCTTCTTCTGCATTCGCTCCTAAAAAGGCGGTTGACACGTTAAGTTGTGGTTTACAGCTAGGCAACGATGTCTGAAGTGAGTGGGAGATAAATGCATGCAACTGTCTTTTTCACGTTCTTTCGACAATAGATTCGTGCATGCAGGAAAAAAATTTTTTTTTTTACTCACAATGTTAGACCAATTATTTTATAATGGTCATTTGTAGGCATGTATGTTGTAACATTTGTAGACTTCAAGTTTGAAAAAACATGGTTGCCATGGCAACAGCCGCCGTCTTGATGAAAAAAAAACAAGCTGTACTTAGACAGCTAAAATTTCAAAAACAAACAAAGGTATTGAGAAACAGATAATTGATTCATGAATTTTAAACATATGTTTAGGGTCAGGTCTAGTTTATTTACTTCAAAGATGTTTTTTAATATATTTTTTAGAATATTAAAATTTTGGTATGTTGAAAAAAATACAAAATTGTAGCTTTTTTAGATAAAAATCAAATTGTTAAAAACATTACTCAATAAACTGTAATTTCAAATAGACCTGACCCTATAATATTGTGTTAGGAGTATTTACACCAAATTTCACGTCTCTAGTCTTTATATTAGTTGAGATTTTAGGAGATCTCACACTCAACAAACAGAAACATAGAATTGTTGGAAAAGTGACTTTTAAACTTTTTTTATCTTAAAAAAGTGCATGGGTTGGTGTCTTTAGTATTAACTTTTCAATGCTAAACTGTTTACGAATGACAAAAATTGTGTGTGTAATCTATTCTACGAATGCCGAACAATACAAAAATGAACACATTGAAAAAGTGATATTTTTGTCATAAACTGGAAAATAATGCCGTGACCCCTTAATGAGAACTTAAGAAATAATACGTTGCAACGATAAAAAAAAATAATGTCTGCAGTTTCAGCGCGTGTTTAGCAATGTTTACACCCGCTTGCATAGGAAGACGCTTGCTCTATGAATAAATGAATCAAGAAAGGAACATCAATGTACTATACATATATACATATATCCCCCCTTTCCCCGCCGGTCAAATTTGTATTGCAGATAAACCGCGTGAGCGGCGTGGGGGCCACATGGCGGTAGCGGTTGTTGGCGGAAAACTGCCGGAAGACCGCAAATTAAGTACCGGAAGCGCACAATGACACGTGACCGCGGCTCGGCTGGATATTTTGTCGCCGCCGTCTTTGCCGACCGTTTGTCGGAGGATAGCCTGATATTTTATAACATAAATATAATAAAGATGGTACACGGTTGGTGATAAAATTACTTACCTTGAACTGAAAGATATATTTGATACTGATAATTTGGCAATGTTCGAGCCCAGAATCTGGCAGAAATGGCGGGACAGGTAAATAAATATGTCGCCAACGCCTACCAGATCGCAAGGTGACATCGTATACGTCGTCACGTTTGCTGAGGTACTGTCTGTGAAGAGGTATGGGGGGAAAATGGAATTGTATGTTGAGAGGAAAAATAAAGTACAACAAGGGGTTTCTTCTACACAGTGTTGGATTTATACATGAGAGCTTAGTGCCTCACAATCTGCAAGGGCCTCAAGCCTTTTTTTTCACCTATGCAATTTTCCATTAATATCTTTCTAAAGTGTCCCCAAAAAATGTTACTTTTTTATTACCATTGTTGTGGATATATTATCTCAACCTTTTTTTTTTGGGGGGGGGGGGGGGGGGGGGGTTCAAACTTGTAGCCTATCTAAACTGAAATAAAACATTTAAAAAATCACCTTGATATGCATTAATTTTCACATTTTATTTGCTTAAATATTTTTAAAGTGTTATGAGATTACGAAATGTTTATTAAAACGGTACAGGCCTCAGAGCTTTATATAGCTTAAGATCTTGTTGTATGCGAAAGTCACTGTGGTATGTAAAGAGTTCATGAAGCCAGGGCTTGGCGTATCATAGGTATATGCTGGTGTTCCTGTTGTGTTGACGGGTTGTGAATGTAAACACCTGCGCCAATAACAGTTTTTAAATAGGGGTTGCTGGATATTCACGGGTGGGATGTGAGCTCCAGGTTTTGGCGAGAAAATGAGATCCAAGCAAAACTAAGAACTCATTGGATAATCCTGTGGTAGTGTGAGTCAGAAGCTCTCAGTCAAGTATATGGACGTATGCGCGAATTGTTCAAGTCCTATGGACGCACGGACTTGTGTTTTAATAAAATATTTTATTCTGTTTGAACTCGGAATGTGTCCAGTGAATATGGTGGATCATCAGTTGTACTTCTGGATAATATCAGTCATTTTCTAAAATGGTCTTGTGTGTATTTGTGTGTGTGGGGGGGGGGGGGGGGGGGGGGGGTGAGTAGGCAAAGTTGCGGCTATGTGGCACGCAGGTTGACAGGGGAGTCTTCAAGTGCCACATAAGGTGCCGTGGTGACTGTGTGTGTTGACTAGCGTGGAGTTGTGATGGGGCGGTATCAGCAATGCTGGTTGATCAGTGATACTTCAAAGAGTGACTGGGTAGCAGACTGAAGGTCTATATTCTAGTCACCAAGTAGTGCACCTGCTTAGGCTCTCTGAGTTCTAGTCTCTTGAACAGGAAACCTGAGGACTGTCAATGCCCATCACGTAGGTGTATCTGCGCGATCGGGTGGTGGGTCGCCCGAAGCAGGCACCTGTACATAGTTTACCGGGGTGTTTTGTTCATGTCTGGAGAGACTTCCGATGTGAGTGTGTTTGACAGGCAGAAGACTTTACAGTGAGTCGTTGATCACCAATTCATCGTTGTCGCAATGTGTTCGTCCCTAATAATCATAAGAGTGGTCGCACTATAAAATCATACTTGGCGTGGTGTAGTATATTACAGTATTCTTATGAAGTGTTAGTAGTTACGACAGAACATGTAGCTTGACCTACATATACTGTGGTTGCTAAGTTATTACTGTGCCTGGCTAATTGGGGTGTCCCTGTTTGGATTGTCTTTCTTTACTCCAGTGCCTTGCCAAGGAAATTGGGCGGTCATGGCTCGCCAGTTAGGGGAAGTATATGTGTATGTGTGGTGGACTGATAATCTCCTAGATATTTGGCAAGTGTGCGATGCATCTTCTGATCGCCTACTACAGGCCTCATCTTCTCAATCCGGCTCTGCTTGTATGCTGTTTTCGGTTACACTGTGTGTTTGCTTTAAAAAAAAATTAAGTACAGAGACCATCAATCAATCAATCAATCAATCAATCAATCAATCAATCAATCAATCAATCAATCAATCAATCAATCAATCAATCAATCAATCAATCAATCAATGAGGTGCAGTCTCTACAGTGAAGGTTGGCTGCAGTGCATCTCCAACACGCACTGTATCTTATCCTGGTTGTACACACTCACAGACTGCTTAATGTCTATCTCTTGATGTTGTCCTTGTTTCTTTGACCACCGCTTGCGCTCTTGCCTTCCACATTTTCCCCCATTATGGTTTCTAAAAGCGTTATGTCTTTTAATGTGGCCAATATATTTCAATTGTCTCTCTTTTTTATATTTATTTATTTAAGTAATTTTCTTTTAATTCGCAGTCTTTACAGAACCTCTGTATTCAATCTTCTTGTTTTCATGAAGTATAACCTACTGTTGTGTAGTTCCATATGTCCATTTATAGACATTTTTCTTCTTACAGAACTTGAGTTTTACAGTTTTACATTTCTGGTTTATTTGAACACAGAGTGTTGGTTCCCTTATAGTTGTTCATTTTTGAGATCATCTTCATCGCGCAACGGACATGACCACAAGTGCTCCGAACGTGTTTTTAGGTTATCAACTCCCATTCTATTCCGGCTAATGTAATGACGGGTGGCTTCTGCGTGGTTTTCCTGTCTCGCGGCTCTAAATGATACACCCAGGGTTTGCAGTCTATTCACTGACAAATTATTTTCCACAAAACTGAAAGCCTCACAGCGTTTAGTCTCTATTATGGCATTGCTGATGTCTCTCCTATCCAGAGGATCCAATCCTGATAGTCGCTCTGCCAGCCATCATGACTGTTCATAGTCTAATGATTGACTCATGGAACCGCCGTGGTGTAGCAGTTAGACGCTTGCCTGTTGATCCGAAGGTTGTGAGTTCGGGTTCCAGCGGAACCGGACTTTTTTTCAAAAAGGACCTAGTTCCTAAGGTCGGCCCAGCCTTAACTGGTACCAGGTAAAGTCCTGGGAAGTAAAGGCGACCGGGGTCATGTTGATGTTGACTATATAACCCATCGAGAAGTGATTGGTCTATAAAATATAGGTCTAGGTATATATACCCAACACAACTGAAAAGGTCCTTTACTTTTACCTAATGATTCTTTTTAAAGAACAGGGTCGTTGCGTATCCTTTACAGGACATTGTAGAACCAACCCCAGCATTTTTGTGTGTGGCTGTTGTGGTACTCACAGAGCATGTTGAAAAAGGTGAAAACAGACAAGCTTCGTGTAGATTTGCAAGCATCATCTCAGTCGTACCGGGTAGTTAGCATCCTTTGGATATTTTCTCCAGGTCATGCCGGTTTGCTTGGAAATGAGCAGGCAGATAGACTGGCTGGCTCTGCACCACTCTGCGCCACTTGGTGGTGAATTGATGTATGGCAAGTTAGATATTTTGAGGGCCCTTTGGGAGCGAGTAAACAGTGCGGAGGCGCAGATAGATCATTACGGTCTAAAGAGAATGGCGCTGCGAGGAGTTACCGGGGAATCTGGCAGACGTTCAACACTCAAGGAAAGGCAAGACGGATATACAATTGAATCAGACAGTTACTGGAACCATGGGAACTGGATACTCTTCGATTGGTGTTGAAGATTGGGACTGAGCACTTATGGGAGTGTCCCGAGTGCTGTGATGTCGATTCTTAATTCAACATTCAACATTTGGCTGTTGCGCTTTTTCTAGGTCATTTTACGTCCAGTAGTTTGTCACTTCTTTCTGGACGATCAGTTTCTTGATACCACTGTCGAAACCAATGCAAGGCGCAAGGCCCGCAGCTGGGATCGAACCCGGCACCCCACAATTACGAAGCGCGTTTCTAGCGCCTAAGCCACAGACGCCGACTACTTAATGATTGTCTCTAATAAAACATACCTGAAAGCAATCTCGTGTTCTTCGGCATAGTAGTGGCTTTCGAGGATCAGAGAGGCCTGAATGAGAGTGATCTCTTTGCCAGTCCAGTTGGTCACCTCACCGTCGATAATGATGTTGTCCCCGGGAATTGCCGCAGACTTGTCGATCGTGCATGTCACTTTGACCTGTGGATGATTTCCATTTTTTAAAATGCATAAAACAAACATTTTAGAACAGGGATGCAGAATGTCCGACTCGTCGGCTGTATAAAGCCAGCGAATTCACCTGATCTGGTCCTTCTTCTTCTGTTTCTGCTTAAACAACGGATCACCATCATAGCTCAAGGGTGCTCCGTTCTACTTCTAGTTCAAGACTGTCTGAAGGTTCTTAGCGTAATGCACGAACTCGGTAGCACTGGCGACAATCCTGAAATACTTTGGGTAAATGTTTAACTCCAAATTTTTGCCAGGGTAGCGCTGTTAGGCTACTCTTTTCGATTTCCAACTGCCAGATTGTTTTTTTTTAATGTATGCAACAGTACACACGTGAGTCCGATCTTACTATCCAGAGACCAGGGGACATTACTAGAAGTCCATTCCACATGAAAAAAGCTCACCTCTTACTGGGGGTTGAACCCAGAACCTCTAGCACGCGAGGCGGACTCCATGCGTCGAGACCTCGCAGTTCCCGAAGAACAATACAATGGCAGGTGTTAGTTTTCAGCCACCGCCAACTGTACTCCTGGAGCCCGACCGTCAGCCAACGATTTCCCTCCATTAATTACCTGCTTTTTAAAAATAAATGCAATATTTTCGCGTAATAAATTTAAACAATACCGACCTAAACAATCATCATCCTCATCGTGTTCCCTGCCAACTAGCGTAGGTGCTGATGCGTCTCCAGATCACGATCCTTGGTTGCCTGGAACCGCTGTCTTGATGATATCCCTCCATACCATCGTTTCAGCCCATCCAGTGTCATCTCTCTTGGTCTGCCTCTACCCCTTTTCCCACTGATCTTTCCAGTTGTCACGATGTTCTTCAATGTCCCCATAGGCCAAAGAACAGTGTTTGTCTCTTTCCTATTGTTGTATGTAGAGATCTACTTGCATTAGCTTCTTTCAAGCAATTGTTGTTAGTTATTCTGACTGTCTTTAACAATCATGACAACATCTCTCTTGGTCTGCCTCTATCCGTTTTTCCACTGATTTTTCCAGTTGTCACGATGTTCTCCGATGTCTCACTTCTCATTAGGTGGCGAAAGAACAGCGTTAGTCTCTTTCTTATTGTTGTATATAGGGACCCTTACTTTCATTAGCTTCATTCAAGCAGTCGTTGTTAATCACTCTGGCCGTCCAGGGTATTCGTAACATTCGTCTCAGAAACCACTGAGAACCTAAACAAAACATTGTACAACCCAGGGATTCCACAAGAGTGTCGAGTCCAGATCAAAAGGAAAGAACTCAACTCTTTTATATGACATCATTTGCTTGATTCCAGACACCTCATTGACCAGGAGAGTGTTTTCCGTGTGATTTACCGCACACCGAACAGGCGAATTCCGAGGCTGGTCGGAACTTCAACAACACAAAGTAAAGCTCCCTCTGATGAAGCAAAAAGAATTCATAATCAATTTTATGTTACCCTGGTAAGTCATGTGACTAAAGTAAACTTCCGGCAACTAGACGCACACGATGCATCGTGAGAGACCATTCGCATTACTTCTTCGTCTTTGCGTTCGATTTTGTATGCTCAGATCAGATCATCAGGTGGGTTGCCTCTATGAACTTGCATGTTAGTAGCAAGTCCTTCATGGTTCCCCATAGCTTTGCTCCGCATTCTTTGCTCCCGGGGCTAAGTCTGCAGAATGTGCTCAGGTGTTTGTGGTCCTGTTTGACAGGCACACTGTGGGGACTGTAAATCAGTATTTTATGCATGTAGTTGTTGAGACTGCAGTGTCCTGTTCGTAGGCGGACGATTGTTGTATGTTGCTTTCTGTTGAGTTTGCTGATGGGGTCTTCTGGATGCTTACTGTTAGTTTATTCTCTCCAGAATTCCTTGTAATTTCCTTTAATACGTGTTCTGACTTCTGGTAATGACAATGAAGGGGTTATGGTTTCTCATTTGCTCCATTTTTTGCACGTCTGTCAGCTAACTCATTTCCTGGTATGCTGCAGTGAGCCGGGATCCACCGGAGAACGATCTGACTGTTTTCTGAAAGTCAGTTTAGCTGGCAGGTCAGTTCTCCGTTCATGTTGTCTCGTGGATCTCTCTCAGTCGCCTGGAGTACTGGCATGCAGTCACAAAGGAAAACAATTTGGCTGTTTTTAATTTTTCTTTCCTCGAGCACTTTGGCTGCATCAATAATTGCTTGCTGTTGGCTCTGAAGTTTATTCAGTCTTCCGGAGGCGCATGACGTTTCTACTGTGGTCCCATCTTGCCGCATGATGACTGAACCAGCTCCTCCGTTTTTTTTACTGCTCCCTCCGGTGATCCATCGGTGTATTCGTTGGTGTATTCGTGTGTCGCATTTCAGATGAACTTATTCTATTTTTTATTTGTGTGCTTCATCATATGTTGATGTGACTCTGTAGAACGCACAGAACGAGATACAGCGAAATATGCCTGGCAATAGATTGTGCAATCTATTGTTTGTGTCTGCATTCTTTGTAGATAAATATAAATACATTAAATTGGAAGGATGAGGCAAATCTGGAAACCCAACAGTTACTGCAGAGGAACAAAACTCCAACTCTACAAGAGCATGATTTTGCCAGTTCTTCTTTATGGAGCAGAATGCTGGAGAATGACCGAAATGGATGCACACAAGCTGTCCACCTTCCACCACACAGGTCTACGTAGAATTATCAAAATTTTCTGGTCAGATACAATCTCAAACACTAAACTACTTCAAGTCACAAACCAAGAAACTCTAGACAGTACGATAACCAAGAGAAGATAGAAATGGCTTGCCCACGTTATGAGAATGAATCCTGATATACCTGCCAAACAGCTCTCACATGGATACCAGAGGGAAAGATAAAAAAAGGGAGCCCATAAACAACATGGAGACGAATGATGGAAAGTGACCTGAGTGTGGCATCTTTGACACGGAAAACTACACTGCAGATTGCACAGGACAGGAAAGCATGGAAAGTCCCCTCTGAAGCCTCATGTGCCACTAGGCATAACGAGAACATGATGATGATGATGATGATGTTAAATTGCAAAAATAGGTCAGCCGCTGAAAAGAGCTGATGAGAAAGCAGGACAGCATCCACGAAGAGGACGTATTGGCCCCATTAAAGATATTGTTCATCCGCGTTCATCACAGACAATTGACTCCACGACGGTTGGCGGCAGAAGTGGAAGATGATAATAATACTGATAATTATAGGGATGATAATGATGATGATGGTGGTGGTGGTGGGAGCTGATGATGATAATGATGGCGATGATGAATGCACACAAAACAAATATGAAATATCTAAATGGTAATGTTTATATTACTTTTATGTCGTATAAATCAACTATTGATAGATTTGATGAAATCAGATATGTTGGACCGAAAAGTGCATATTTCGCAGCCTAGCAGTAAACCACTTTCACAATGTCCTAACAGCTTTTTCAAAAGGCGAACGCAGAATGAGAAGATTAGGTGCTTTATTTATATCCTACCCCAGATGACGTCACAGGACAGTCAAAAAATTTTAGAGGGTGGTAAGACTGGGTTTCTTGGCTTTCTGATTCTTTTACTGACCCCAAAAAATCTAGAACTTGCCATAGCCTCAACCCACCTACGTCCCACGCGACAGTGCAGCCTAAGTCCCACGACTACATGCAGCCGCTCTGTCACCACTTGAAATATTAGACTGTTCCGTGACCTGTGGATTTCCCCTGTTTTGGGTAGGATATTGATAAAGCACCGAAGATTACCTTTCCAGAATGTAAACCAAAAAAGAAACGACTTTTCTTGAGGTGTTTCTCGCTGTACAGCTCGACAGGCAGCTCCGGCCGTCGGAGGACAAGGAACGGTTCACTGCTGAGTGTTGTGTTTCTGGCGTCCTCGCAGTCCAGCTTGACCTGTTGGGAGCAAGAACACACTGTCAAAACAGGAATACATTGTGGGAGCCAGAACAAACTGTCAGAACAAGAATATATTGTGGGTGCCAGAACACACTGTCAGAACAAGAATATATTGTGAGGGCAAGAACAAACTTTCAGAACAAGAATACATTGTGGGAGCCAGAACAAACTGTCAGAACAAGAATATATTGTGAGGGCAAGAACAAACTGTCAGAACAAGAATACATTGTGGGGACAAGAACAAACTGTCAGAACAAGAATACATTGTGGGGGCCAGAACAGACTGCCAGAACAAGAATATATTGTGGGAGCAAGAACACACTGTCAGAACAAGAATACATTGTGGGGGCCAGAACAAACTGTCAGAACAAGAATACATTGTGGGAGCCAGAACAAACTGTCAGAACAAGAATATATTGTGAGGGCAAGAACAAACTGTCAGAACAAGAATACATTGTGGGGGCCAGAACAAACTGTCAGAACAAGAATACATTGTGGGGGCCAGAACAAACTGTCAGAACAAGAATACATTGTGGGGGCAAGAACACACTGTCAGAACAAGAAAATATTGTGGGAGCAAGAACACACTGTCAGAACAAGAATACATTGTGTGGGCCGGAACAAACTGTCAGAACAAGAATACATTGTGGGGGCCAGAACAAACTGTCAGAACAAGAATATATTGTGAGGGCAAGAACAAACTGTCAGAACAAGAATACATTGTGGGGGCCAGAACAAACTGTCAGAACAAGAATACATTGTGGGGGCCAGAACAAACTGTCAGAACAAGAATACATTGTGAATGCAAGAACAAACTGTCAGAACAAGAATACATTGTGGGGGCCAGAACAAACTGTCAGTCATTGAACAGACTGTCAGAACAAGAATATATTGTGAGGGCAAGAACAGAACAAGAATGTCCAGAACAAAACTGTCAGAACAAGAATACATTGTGGGGGCCAGAACAGACTGTCAGAACAAGAATACATTGTGGGGGCTAGAACAGACTGTCAGAACAAGAATATATTGTGAGGGCAAGAACAAACTGTCAGAACAAGAATACATTGTGGGGACAAGAACAGACTGCCAGAACAAGAATATATTGTGGGGGCAAGAACACACTGTCAGAACAAGAATACATTGTGGGGGCTAGAACAAACTGTCAGAACAAGAATGCATTGTGGGGGCCAGAACAAACAGTCAGAACAAGAATATACTGTGGGGGCAAGAACAAACTGTCAGAACAAGAATACATTGTGGGGGCCAGAACAAACTGTCAGAACAAGAATACATTGTGGGGGCCAGAACAGACTGTCAGAAAAAGAATATATTGTGAGGGCAAGAACAAACTGTCCGAACAAGAATACATTGTGGGGGCCAGAACAAACTGTCAGAACAAGAATACATTGTGGGGGCCAGAACAGACTGTCAGAACAAGAATACATTGTGGGGGCTAGGGTCAGAACAAGAACAAGAACTGTCAGAACAAGAATACATTGTGGGGGCTAGAACAGACTGTCAGAACAAGAATATATTGTGAGGGCAAGAACAAACTGTCAGAACAAGAATACATTGTGGGGGCAAGAACAAACTGTCAGAACAAGAATACATTGTGGGGGCAAGAACAAACTGTCAGAACAAGAATGCATTGTGGGGGCCAGAACAAACTGTCAGAACAAGAATACATTGTGGGGGCAAGAACAAACTGTCAGAACAAGAATACATTGTGTGTGGTGGGGGGCGGGGTCAAAAACAAACTGTCAGAACAAGAATACATTGTGGGGGCTAGAACAGACTGTCAGAACAAGAATATATTGTGAGGGCAAGAACAAACTGTCAGAACAAGAATACATTGTGTGTGTGTGAGGTGGGGGGCGGGGGTCAAAAACAAACTGTCAGAACAAGAATACATTGTGTGTGTGTGTGGTGGTGGTGGGGGGCGGGGGTCAAAAACAAACTGTCAGAACAAGGATACATTGCCGAGGAAGGGGGGGGGGGAGAACAAACTGTCAGAACAAGGATACATTTCCGAAGAGGGGGGGGGGGGGGGGTGGCAAGAACAAACTATCAATTCAAAAATACATTGTGGGGGCAAGAACTATCATTGTTGGAGGTGGAAAAACAAGCTGTCAGTACAAGAGTACATTGTTGGGGGGGGGGGGGGGGGGGGGCAAGAACAAGCTGTCAGTACAAGAGTACATTGTTGGAGGTGGAGGGGAGGGGGCAAGAACAAGCTGTCAGTACAAGAGTACATTGTTGGAGGTGGAGGGGGGGCAAGAACAAGCTGTCAGTACAAGAGTAAATTGTGGAAAGAGGGGGAGGGGGCAAGAACAAACTGTCAGTTCAAGAATACATTGTTGGAGGTGGAGGGGGGGGGGGCGGGGCAAGAACAAGCTGTCAGTACAAGAATACATTGTGGAGGTGGAGGGGGGGGGGGGGCAAGAACAAACTGTCAGTACAAGAGTAAATTGTGGAAAGAGGGGGGGGGGGGCAAGAATAAACTATCAGTACAAAAGTACATTGTGGGGGAGGGGGCAAGAACACACTGTCATTACTAGAGTACATTGTGGGCGGGCGGGGGGGGGGCGAGAACACATAGCTGGAACAAAAACATACTGTTGTGGGCCAGAACAAACTGTCGGAACAAGAAAACACTGTCAAAACAAGAACACCATTTTGGGGAAAGAACATGCTGTCGGAATAGGAACACACTGTCAGAATAAGAACACACTCTCAGAATAAGAATACACTGTCAGAACTTTACAGTAACTTTGAAAAGCACTCACCTTTGCTAAATACGTGACCTGTCCATAGATGCCAGTGAAAGAGGAGGGAATGTCGGAAGGCAGGAGGTACTTGAACCCAAACTGATGAAGGCCGGGCTTCAGCTCTATCGCGTTGTCGTAGCCAACGTCAAGCAACCGTTTAGCTGATTCTAGGTAGATTTCCGAGGACTGATATACCTGACGGATGTTGGAATATATGTCAATGGGACGCAGTGTGGTAAAGCCAACTGTCTGGACTGAATAATAATGGCAGAATGTTGACTGTTGAATTAAGAGTCGACATCACAGCACTTGGAACACCCTCATAAGCGCTTCGTTCCCATCTTCAGCAGCAAGCGAAGAATTTGAATTCAGATGGCACCAGTAACTGTCTGATTGTATATCCGTCTCGCCTTTCCCTGAGTGTCGAGCATCGGACAGATCCCCTTGGAACTCCTTGTAGGGCCATTTTCTTTAGACCGTAATGATCTATCTGTGACTCCGCACTGTTCAATCGCTCCCAAACAGCCCTCACAACATCCAACTTGTACATTAATGAAAGAATAATAAACAATATAATAATCTAAGATATTGGCGGTGAACTGATAAATGAAAGCTAGATGTTGTGAGGGCGCTTTGGAAGCCGGTGAACAGTGCGGAGACACAAATAAATCCTTACGGTCTGAGGAGTATGTACACTCAGTCCTGCTGTATGATGCAGAAACTTTGACTGTGAGCAGGCAACTAGAAAATCGAATTGAAAATCTGAAAATGTAGACATACAGAAGAATGGGTCGTATTCCATAGAACCTTCGAGCTGGCAGATGAACGTTTTGCCACTACAATACTGTGATTCCAGTGAGAATGTGGAAGTAAAGGACGCTTCTCCACGCCTTCTATTGGGCATACAGGGCTAGTCCTTTATATTATAGACCAATCGGCACTTGGTGGGCATGTGATCAACATCATGCCGACCTCCTTTACTTCCCACGACTTTTACCATTTAAGGCTGGGTCGACCTGGAAATCAAGGTTTTCTCTAGAAAATGAAAAAAAAAAAAAAAGTCTAGGACCGTTCAGGATTGAACTCACCACTTTCTCATCCACAAGCGAGCATCTCGTGATACTGTGGCATATCTGAATATTACAATTATTTTTTTTTTAAATATCAAGAAACCCTTTGGCTCGGTACTATTGTTATCGCAACCGTTCGGCCTTGATTCCATGATAGATAGCGTAAATCTTGAAGAGATGTAGCTTTTCTGCCAACCCCCAGGCGTGAACCCGGACCACAGGGAGTTCGTCACCCGGTCGCCGCGCAGTCAGGTTTTACCAACTGCGCTATCTAGCCAGGCAAATAATATCAATAAGAAGAGCAAGACGATGTTTCCAGACACTAGAAGCTTCGCTGGATTATACATGTAGGTCAAAGTGATCAGGACCAAACGACCTTTGACGCAGTGAAGGATAATGTTGACTTAAAAAAAAAAACTGGTAATCAAAAATAGGGATGGATTTATTCTGGAGACAAGGGTTTCAGCAAAATTTTACCGTTATGCAATGTTTTGTTGTTGTTGCTGTTGCTGCTACTGCTGCTGTTGCTGCTGCTGCTACAACTGATGTTGCCAAACGTCTTCACCTCCTTGTCTGCATTTAATTTTTCTGTCTGTCTCTGTTTGTCTTCTTTCCTTTCCTGTTTTTTTTTCTTCTTCCTTTTCCTTCTTCTTCTTGTCAGTCTCTTTCTTCTTCTTGTCAGTCACCCACCTCATCTTTCTTTCTTCTCCTTCTTCTCATCCTCACTTCTTCTTCTTCCTCTTCCTTCCTATTCTTCTTCTTCTTCTTCTTCCACCCACCTCCTCTAACATTATTTCCCCCCCCCCAAAAAAAAAACCACTACCGGATTTAAGAAAAAGCGAAAGATTAAATTAGATAATTACCCGACACCGATAGATAATTGTATTCTTCTTCATATTTGACATGCAGAGTTTAACAATACTTTCTGAAATTGAATCAATCCGTCTGTCTATTGACTCAATAGCGTGTCTGTATTAATCTGTCTGCCCCTGTATCTGTTTACCTATAACGATGTATCTATTTGTGTGTATGTAGGGTGGGGCGTGTGGAAGGGGAAAAGGGGGGGGGGGGGGGGTCATAACACCCTAACTGATTCAAGTGTTGAGCTAAAGAAAAAACATCAAAACCCTCATGGCATTTCCATAAGCGCACCGGCCTCATCTTCAGCAGCCAGCAAAGAGTTCCAGTTCCATTGGTGCCAGTAGCAGTTTGACCATACGCCCGTTTTGCCCTTTCTCCCAGCTTAGAATGTCCATCAGATCCTCTGGTCACTCCTAGTCGTACCATTCTCTCCAGACCATAATGATCTACTCGAGCCTCCGCATAGTCCACTTGCTCGCATACGGCCTTGACCACATCTAGCTTTTGATGCATCAGTTCACAATCCATTGACGCAGAACCAGCCAGAGTGTCTGCCTGTTCATGTCCTAACACTCCTGCATAACCCAAAGAAAATATTCAAAGTGCGCTATAGCCTAACTGTCTCAAGTTTTTACTTACTTGTCATTGAAAAAGTCTTTCCCGTGTGGGATGTAATTTTTTGTTTAATTTAAAGCCCCACCAAGGCTTCTGACGGAAGCCCTGAATATAGCCGGGGCAATTATTTGGCCTAGCCTTAGATATGGCTTAACGGCTGCAAAAGGGTTTCTGGAACCTCTACACAGGGGATCCTCATCCGCATGGTGGCACTTTGTGTCACCGGGTGTTTATCGCTTGTGTGATGTCTGGTGGAGTACAACTATACACCTACCTACTTTTACTTACTCGTTTCTTCGATGTTGCCTCCCATGAAACCGTACCGGTCCCTAGGAAATGAATGGTCAGTCCTTTCACTCGCAGAGAACCTGTCAAGTGTAAGGAAACACTATTCCCTTGACCTCCTCTCCAGGGATGTAGAACTGTTTATTATGTCTGTTGTTGTCATCGTCTTCGACATACTGGAAGTGGATAAGAAGATCCTCGACGGACATTCTTCTCTTTCCTTAGAGTTACCTCTTTTGTGTCCGGATTACGAGCCAAACTTAAATCTCCTTGCGTGGTACCTTAAAAATAGAATAACGAGGTTGTGTTTCATAAAAACAAAAATAAAATAAAGTACGCTTTTAACATGAACATATATTTAATGGTTAATGTTACAGTGGTCATATTATCTTCAACTGAAAACGGAACATCCTACTAAAATTTCCAGCTCATTTCAATAATATCTTCAGCGGGGCAACCTACTAATATTTTGAGCTGAAAAGGGGAAAACCTACTAATATTTTGAGCTGAAAATTGAACATTTCAATAATATTTTGAGCTGAAAACGCGACAACCTACTAATATTTTAAACTGAAAAGGGGACAACCTACTAATATTTTGAGCTGAAAAGGGGAAAACCTACTAATATTTTGAGCGGAAAACGGGACAACCTACTAATATTTTGAGCTGAAAAGGGGACAACCTACTAATATTTTGAGCTGAAAAGGGGACAACCTACTAATATTTTGAGCTGAAAATTGAACATTTCAATAATATTTTGAGCTGAAAACGCGACAACCTACTAATATTTTGAGCTGAAAACAGGACAAATTACTAATATTTTGAGCTGAAAATGGAACAATTCCGAGCAACGTCCTGTAAAATACACAAACATATTTTATAAAAATAATTGGCACTATTAGGCCCATTCACATGGAGAACTGATTGACCACATCAGAAAGAGAAAATGTTCATTTTTTGGTCATGGGATGAGAAGGAAAAAACTGGAGTACATCGTGACAGTAGGAAAGTTGGAGGAGAGGAGAGAGAGAGAGAGTGAGACCGATAGAAAAGATACTGGACAGTTTGACATCATGGCATGGAAGATCATCTGTGTCAGAGTTGATTGAAAGCACACGAGGCAGAAGGTTGTGGATAGACACGACAACCAACGCCACATGACATGGACTTTAAAAAGAAGATTGGGCCCAAAAGACTTCGATGTTTGAGGTATACATAGATATGGCAGATAAAAGAAATAGAGACACTGCAAACATAAAACAGTTGATTGTGAGTAGAGTAGACCACGAGACAGACCAAGAAGACGATGCAGACATAAAGACACTTAGAGTCAGCAACAGGCCAATCGTAGAGCTGAACTGATCTGGGATGATCAGGGATGAATTGATCACGTGTGAAGCTGCTGATCTGTTCCTAAGTGCTGCTTCCATTGATGATGAACTGCATTTATAATGTCGGACTGTTTGTGTTAGAACTTCTGATGGCTGCCTTATGCATTTAATGCGTGTGTATGCTAGTGGAAATGCTAAGACTGCAATCTGTGTCAATTTTCTAAAGGGGACATTGGTGGACATTCTGTGTGTTTTTCGTTGGCACAGGAGAGGAGCAGCTATGGGGTGACCCGTTTGCTATAAAGCTGAAACTAAGACTACTAAGATACAGAGAGATGAACTGAGGCTGGTGATACTTGCAGCAATGAATCAAAGACTAGGAAAGAAGAAGAATGTATAGAATCTAAACATAAAAGATATGATAACATTACAACGGATGCCCGCATAGACAGCATGTTTTGTTTTTCAACAGTAAAGTCCTCCACTGTAACAGTTTATGGGTCAGCTAACTAAGCAGACTGTTCCAATGAATCCAAGTGTTACAATTTCTCCTGGCAGAACATACAGATACAGGATGCACTTACGATAAATGATTACTTCCGGCCACAACTGAGCAAAGGTTTGGCAGAATGTTATGCTTCGAAGTTATTTTTGCTTTTGTCAGCGCTTTGCTAATGCAGTTTCCACATAAAGAAGGTAGTCTATGGTTTGGCTGCCTGAGCTACTGAGTTTAGTGCTTGCTTGCAGCCCGCTGCGCTGCTGTATTTTTCTGTTGAATGCCTTTCATTTGTGCAGCGGTCGTTTCGTGGCACTGAATATGGTCGTGGCCGGTTTACGTACGAGTTGGTGAAATACCTTGGCTTATGTAATAATTCTACATGTGTATAGTAACCAATTTATCGTGCCCGACGACTTCCATCAACGATAAATTAAATTTCTGATAGCGATTGTTAGCTTTGGCGCCTCTAGCAACTGTCATGTGCATTTAATGCGTGTGCCTTTTTCTGGATTGTTCCGGGACTAATTGTTTGTTCAACCGCTTTTTCAAATGGGACAGTGAGGGACATTTCATTTGATTTTCACCGGTATAGGAACGGAGCAAGTATGGGGTCACCTGATTGCAGTGAAGTTGAAGCCTCGACTAAGACGATGTTTGACGGCCTGAAGCGGTGGTATGTTCGAGTACCATCAGTGGAATCGATTCGAAATATCAAGAACTAACAACAGTGGAAAAACGGGCGGGAACTGGCCCGGGAACCCACATGGGGAATATAAAGGTCTTCAAGCATTGAGTGCTACAGGGATTAACTTAAATCCCGAGATATATTTTACGAGTTTCCGTTTTCGTCGTGCAGTTACCTGCAACACATTAAGAGAGAATCGTCAAATTTATGTATTTATGCTAAGTCATGTTGTATGGCGCAGAAGCATGGACAATGAAATATCTATATCCTCTTCATGTCGCTGTTGACACATTAGGCATTCATAAGTGATCTCCGTTGCTGCCGGTCTGCTGCTTTTCTGTCTATGGTATTCTATGTCAGTTTACATTTTTTTCATTTCCCGTTCTACTGTCCTTCTCCAGGTTTCCTTAGGTCGCCCACATCTCCTTTTCCCATCTGCTGTCCATCGGAGAACAGTTTATGCCAGTGTCACAAGGCATTCTTCAAACATGTCCAAGCCATCTCCATTGTCTTACTTTGATAACATTTGCTAATGATGAACATTCTGTTTTCCTCCTCAGTTCTTCATTTATAATCTTGTTTGGCCAAAATATTCGTAGAATTGTCCTAAACATTCATTTTGAAACGTTTTAAGTTTATGTGTAATTCTAGCTGTTTTTTTTTTTCAACACTTATTGTTGTATGGACAATGGGCAAGCAACTAGAAAATAGACCTGAGTCTCTGGTGATGTGGATATACAGAAGAATAGCTTGTACTTCATGGGGCTGGGACCAGAGGAGGGCAACAAAAAGATCATCGAGGATCTGATGATGCTGCGAAAGAAAAGAGAATTTTTGAAAGAATTTTTTTATTTTTTTTTTATTTTTGAAGGAAAAATTGAAAAATGTAGACTGTTTGAGCAAACATACTGTTGGCGTCTGTGGCTCAGGCGTTGCGAACGCGCTTCGTAATGCCGGCGCGTCGGGTTCGATCCCAGCAGGATTCTCGCCTGTGCGACGGAGTTCGTGCGCTGCGCTAAGATTCTTCGGACTCAGACTCGAGTTAGAAGTATAACGGAGCCCTTACGGGTTACCCCTTGTGCGTTGGTGTTGATCCGTTTTCTAACCCTAAACCTATAATTCCTTCAACGTCGGAGTGCATCTGACTGAGAGGTAAGGAACCAACAGTTTGCATAAAAGTAAGCAAGATCTGTAATATGGATGCACACGTACAACTCAGGTATTGGAACAAAGCAAGAGTCCAGAAATGGACGAAAAACCAGGCCAGTGAACGCAAACAACAACAACAGCTGGCAGATAGGTTTGGTGGATCAGTAGGCTGGCTGAATATGGGCAGGAGGGTATTAGTTGTTGCTTAGCTAACTATACGTGCGTTAGCTGCTAGGTATGAAGGTATGTAGGTAGCTAGATTACAACAGTCTTCTCAATGCTCAGTCTACGAAGGATCAGGTGGCTGGGTCACACCTGGAGAATGGAGTATGACAGAGTCCCTAAGGATATCTTTTATGGTGAACTAAAGACGGGTAGAAGATGAGGCCGACCTCTACTACGATATAAAGACGTGCGGGACATGAATGGTATAGCTATTAAGGTGTACTCGTGGGAACAAAAAGCCATGGACCGGGTTTTGTAGAGGTGGCACATGAGGAAGGGAATGAGAGTGAAAGAAGAAATGACGGCAGAAAGGATGAGAGCTGAGCGTCTGACAAGAAACAGACTAAACACAAATGTTGAGATAATAACGGTCCTAAAATCCCATGCTATAATTATAGAAAACCTTTCTCAACGCGGGCGGATCTTGCGGCACTCTTCCTAATAACGTTCCCAAATTATTCAAAGACAACAGAAATCCCACTCAGGGCCTCAAGAGGTCGTAGTTAGGGACTTGAGAGTGGTTAACAACTAGGCTGCGATATCTGCGCCTTTAACTAGGCTGCGATAGCTGCGCCTTTCGCTCGGTCTTGTGGTTAACAGCTAGGTTACGTTAGCATGTGACTTGTCGGTAGTTGGAAGGGCATCATTACGTGGTTATTATTGTTACAGAGGTCGATTATTGGTTGGTTGTAATAGTCCCTGGTTAAACAGATACAGCCTAATAATGGTTTACTCATGTTTGCACCTACTTTTCACTGTTTCCATGCAGCAGTTCAAATATTGCCATTTTTAAAATTTGTATTTTCGAAATATGGTTAGATTTTCTCTTTTGGCACAGTATGAAAGTATAATAGAATGTGCTCACTGCCTTACCATTACAACATGTCATTTGCCCGGTCTGTCTCTAGACTTAGGAGTCTTTTAGCCCCGCCCTCTCAAACATTTGACTATCTCTGGCCTTATGTCAATCAGGTCACAGGCATCCGTAAATGTTCTACCCTCTTGTCCAAGTTCCACTCTTGTGATTACGAGTATGCTTTAATTATAACAATATTCCTATAAATAAACAGAGGGGGAACCTTTGCGGCCGTTAAATATTATGAATTAATCAAGTAACAGAAAGTGTATTGATCGGCACTCATAGAAATAAGTACAAAGATAGAAGAACACACTAGACAACATAAAAATCGAAAGCTATAGTTACCATGCCGGGAATTGCACCTGTCACCTAACGTTAAATTCCACTGATGATGATGATCTAAACATTGCTACCCATCGACACAGCGCTTCAATGGATCGAAAATAATTCCTCCCCACGGA